CTTATGTACTCCAACAAATTTATTGATCTTGTTCGAACTAAAAAACGAAACTTTTAAGTCGTCTCTGTTCAATTTCATGAATTTGTCAGTAATATTTTTGATAAACGGCACAGAAAACCAAGAAATCATTGCTGCACTATTGTCATTGGGGTCACCTTGGTCATGTGATACTCTAGATCTATGTTTTATGTGACGTACTCTCTTATTAATAGCATCAAAAATAAACTTCAGAGGGTAGTCATTATTAATGAGAATATCAATAATTAGTTCTATGTTTTCATAGTGGAAAGTCGAATCAGATAAGAATATAGCTCTATCAACTAAATTGAAGATAATACCTCTTTTTTGAGATTCAGGATGGTTCGAAAGATAATTTAAGTATCTCCCTGAGAAAGTTGGCTTCCGATACCAATTAAACGAAAACCGGTCTACATTAACCATTATCGTCACATCAAGAAAATTAATAGAGTCATCACCCATTAAAATTATAAAATTTACTTGTCACAACCTGACAGATTGTAAATATGCTTGGAGGCAATAAAAAGAAAGTTCATATTTAAGCATCAAATGACGTTATGATGATACGTCCTACGATATCATTATAACCTAATTATGACTCTGTGTCATCAGTGCTGCAAGATTCGTAGAACAAATCCCACGGTGGGATCTACCTGTGCATGCGAACACTATGTCATAGATCACGCGATCGGTTTCGACACACCCGTATTCAGGTTCAATGGGACGCTCCTTGGCGTCCGGATGCATTTTTTATACTTTTAATCAATATTAATGTTATTGTTGTAGGAAATATTAATATACTAAATGCCATTTATTAAACATATATTAGATGCGTTCGGGCAGACGCTATTAGCGCTACCTGTGTTTTTATAGTATATTAGATGTAAAACAAAAGTAGAATAATACAAATAGCGCTAATAGCGTCTCCGCAAACTCTAAATATTGTCTACATAAAAATTTATTAATCTTATACCATTTGGAATAAATAAATTTATTAATACTCTGTAAAAAAGATCTATAAGAAATTAATTACAAATGTGTGTAATTATATTTAAAATTGAAAAAATATTTATATATGTTCTCTTTCTCTTGTCCACATTTATTGTATAAAATCTCTGATGCAGTACTATCATATTCTATACTTTTATAAGAGGAGCGTAACGATAACCGTATAATAGTAAAATATGTACACCACTGATGGCAGCTCTGTTTTATCTAGTGTTCTGATTCAAAACATATATGGCAGTTCTCGAGTCAACGTTGCCATTTTTAATTACTCTCTCTATTCCCCGATCTTGCTCCAGCAGATTTTTTATTCCCTTAGCTAAAGAAGGTGATAAAAGGGACTCAATTTAAAAAATTTCGGACATTTAGAATCGTGTGACAAGATTTTTCATAGGTTCTATAAGCTGTACGAACATTGTCAGAAGTGTAATGCCTCTAGCGGGGATTACTTTGAAAGATAATAAAGGTTATTCGTATATTAATTAAATTGTGTTTATTTTCTCATGACACTCACCGAATTTTATTGCCACATCACATATGTCTTATAATTTCGAGTAGTATATACAGGGTGTCCCATAACTCTCCTGACAAATATCATGGACAAGTGGAACGGATTAAACTGAGACGGAACGTCTTCTACCATTTTTGAATTTTCGTATTAGTTAACGAGATATTTATTTATAAAAATATCCAAATTCGCCCGGCCCACCGCCAAATGCAAGCGCGCGGCTCGATAGGACCGCCCAGCGCGGCGCGCCGCGGGCACTCGCCGTCGTTAGGCACGCGTTGTTTATAACAAGCAGCAATGGTCGTCGCTAGACATGAGTCGCAAATAGCGTCGAATTTCCAGCCATAATTATTCTTTGAGCTATGATCATTCTCTGTTCATACCAAAACGAAATTTTCGTACGAAAAATTTATTTTTGCATGAACATATGTTCGGAAACATTAGAAATTAATATCTCGGTTACGAAAATTAGGAAAATTGAGAACTCTTTCCAAGAACACAGTTTAGTTCGCTCTAAAGTGAACTTTCGTGGCACTAGTCTCCGCGTTTTAAATTGTGAATTATTTCCTGACTATTTGTATCATAACAAAATTATTTACGACATAAAAAAATTGTTTGCGTACATTTTCTATGTGCGTGAACGTGCGCACAGAAAAATAGCAATTCTACAAAGTCAAAGCAGTTACTTAATATCTCTTCCTTTGGGAAGTAATCTTTAACAAAGGATATTTATTTTGATAATAATCCTAAAATGTACATATGGCAAGCGTTTTACTTTTTAATAGCATAAAATTTAGTCTAATGTGTTGAATTCTTAAAAAATTACGATTTTTAATAATTAATTAAAATTATTTCGTGACATAATAATATTTCTATCAATTAGAACTATGTCGGAACATAATAGAAATACGAAATTTTTATTATGTCGCGACATAATGTTAATTCGCCGAGTTAACATTATGTCGCGATATAAAAATTTCGTATTTCTATTATGTTCCGACATAGTTCTAATTAATAGAAATATTATTATGTCACGACATAATTTTAACTTTCATCAAAAATCGTAATTTTTTTAAGAATTCAACACATTAGACTAAATTTCTTTTATGCTATTAAAAAGTAACACGCTTGCCATATGTACATTCTAAGATTGTTATCAAAATAAATATTCTTTGTTAAAGATTACTTCCTAAAGAAGAGATATTAAGTAACTGCTTTGACTTTGTGTGTAGAATTGCTATTTTTCTGTGCGCACGTTCACGCACACAGAAAATGCACGCAAACAATTTTTCTATGTCGTAAATAATTTTGTTATGATACAAATATTCAGGAAATAATTCACAATTTAAAACGTGGAGACTAGCGCGACGAAAGTTCACTTTAGAGCGAACTAAACTGTGTTCTTGGAAAGAGTTATCAATTTTTCTAATTTTCGTAACCGAGATATTAATTTCTAATGTGTTTCCGAACATACGTGCATGCAAAAATAAATTTTTCGTACTAAGATTTCGTTTTGATATGAACAGAGAATGATCATAGCTCAAAGGATAATTATAGCTGGAAATTCGACGCTATTCGCGATTCATATAGCGACGACCATTGCTGCTTCTTATAAACAACGTGTGCCTAGAGACGGCGAGCGCGCGCGGCGCGCCGCGCTGGGCGATCCTATCGAGCCGCGCGCTTGGATTTGGCAGTGGGCCGGGCAAATTTGGACCGTCGTAAAGTTAGCCCCCAACATTAAAAAAAATTAAGTTTCTGTAGCTCATTCGATTGCTCATCGTTTGCACATGTATGCACATTTCGAATTTTCGTTTGCACACTTATGAAGAATTAACGAAATTAAGTTTAAATATTAATGAATTAGACGAATATTTAAATAATAACCAGAGTATGTTTAATAGTAAATATTTCATTTATCCTGTAGGATCGGGAATATTAGTTATAGTATTAGCTAGCGTGAACGAAACAATTCGATTTTTCGTTTGCACACCCGTACTTTAAAAGTTATTAACAATTAAAGTTTCAGACATAACAAAAAAAGCGTTTTCGGTCCGAATTCAAGAGAATCGAGCTCGAAATGACATCAATCGATAGGATTTCGTTTGCACATTGCGAAACAGGTCGATTTTTCGTTTGCACATCCGTACTTAAAAAGTTATTAACAATTAAAGTTCATTGTTAATAACTTTTTAAGTACGGGTTGTCACGAGTGCAAAACTGCTCTATATCCACTGTGACGATTTTGCCACAGAACGTGGCGAAATACTAAAATAACGATAGCGCAATCATATTATTGTCAATATGATATGTAACCCAATTATTATAATAAAAGGAGTACTCGACCGCTGACTAAGAGATTGCGCGGACGCTGGCCTCGTCTGAGTAGAACGCTGACGAGGCTATACGGGCGACCCAAAATATTAAATATAAGCGCGACTCTATCAGCAGTCGCGGGTCAGATAATCGGTCAGATTTATAAACGTAACTCTTCGCGTCGCGCCGTCCGAATCATTATAATACTTATATCGCGACGCGAATACCGAATAGTGCAAGGTGATTGTAGATCAATACCACTTGTGTGTGAGAATAAAGATATTTAATTTAAGTGATACATTGCAAGTGTTATTTCATTCGACCGTTCCTCGAGTCCTAAGTGGATCCCGAACCCGTGCAGCGGCACAACAACGGCGATGCTCGATAAAATTAATGGCGATGAAATTCTATTGATAGCAGAAGATGTGATGTTGGACTGTGCTCCAGCAATGAAGAAAAAAGTGCACAAAATTTTAAAAGACAAAGATGAAAAAGTTGCGGAAACAGCTGGTATTGAAAGAGTAATAGCGATTAAAATTGGCGCTAAAGTGATGATTCGACGAAACATTGATGTCACTTTGGGACTTGTCAATGGAACGATAGGCATTGTAGTTGCGATTCATCGCTCTGTTGATAAAAATTGTATTGATTCTGTTACAATAGTTACTTCTGATAATAAACAAGTCACAATAATGAGAGTTGATATTAAATTCGAAGTATTCCACAAAATAGTGGTACATCGGAAACAATTTCCATTGTCTCTCAGTTATGGAATAACATGGGGGCTAGTGTGAAGTTGGCTCCCCCAAATTTGTTTTTTGAATAACTTTTAAACAGAAAGTGTGCAAACGAAAATTCGAAATGTGCATACATGTGCAAACGATGAGCAATCAAATGAGCTATAGAAACTTAATTTTTTTTAATGTTGGGGGGCTAACTTCACGACAGTCGAATTTGGATATTTTTATAAATAAATATCTCGTTAACTATTGCGAAAATTGAAAAATGGTAGAAGACGTTCCGTCTCAGTTTAATCCGCTCTACCTGTCCATGATATCTGTAAGGAGAGTTATGGGACACCCTATATAATATCATATAATGCTATAATAAGAATATATTATAAGAATATATATTTTATCATTATGTGTTGTAGAGCCAATATTTGGCAAGGAAATTTTCCTACAGAGAATACTGAAGAAGACGGATACAAAGGCACATCACCAGTTACAATGTTTTCGCAGAATAGGTATGGTTTGCATAATATTATTGGAAATGTTTGGGAATGGACAGCGGATTGGTGGATAACAAAGCACTCAAGCGATCGATTAATAAATCCAGTAAGCATTTATTTATTGAAATACTTTCTTATTTAAACGAAAATGTAATAAAGTATGTATTTCATATATTTTATATATTTTATATACAGGGTGGTCCACTTAAATCAGTGACTTAAATCGACCATCTGAAATATCTCGCTTATTTTAGATGATATAAAAATATGTTTCAAATGAAAGTGGTAGGATTTCGGGAGTGACGCATTTTGGTAATGTTGTTTTTTTTTAGGTACAGGCGTCAAAAAAATATGAAGGTTACCTCCACCTTTTTAAATGGAATTGTATGATTGTTTTTACACAATATGATTGCTCTAATTATTCTGCATATAAAAATATTAAGGTAGTGATATCAATAAAAAGTAGTAATATCAATAAAAACCAATAATTGACGAGATATTTTAAACTTTATTCTGTCACATATTGACATAAAATGTTAAATAACTCGTAAAATATTAACTTTTCCATAATTGTACCTTAATACTTTCATGAACAGAATAATAAGATGAATCAGTTGTGGTGGATAGAAAACATAATTGGTTATTTTAAAAATTATCTATTTTGCATGCATGTTTTTAAAGCAACCATGTATTTTCTTTAGACTAACTGATTCATCTCATTATTCTATTCATAAAAGTATTAAGATAGGATTATCAAAGAGTTAATAATTTACGAGTTATTTAACATTTTATGTCAATGTGTGCCAGAATAAAGTGTAAAATATCACGTCAACTATTGGTTTTTTGATGTCACTACCTTAATACTTTTATATGCAGAATAATTAGAGGAATCATATTGTGTAAAAAAATCATACAATTTGATTTTTAAAAGTGTACGTAACCTTTATATCTTTTTGGCGCCTCCGCCTAGAAAAAAAACAACATGACCAAAATATGTTCCCCTCGAAACCCTTCTACTTTTATTTAAAACATTTTTTTATATCTTCAAAAATAAGCGAGATATTTCAAATGATCGATTTAAGTGGACCGCCCTGTATGTGTATATAGTAGAGGAAAGACCCTTATTATGAGATACAGAGTTCATTTTGGGTAAATGCTAGAATAAAGTCTATAGGCAGAATTTAAAAAAATAATAGGTCATTTTGAAGGGAATTTAATAGGCTTTAAGGTAACGTTACATAAAATTTAATTCAAATTTCATTTTTTTGGAAAATTAAAGAAATGTAAAAAGTGAGCAAGTCGCAAAGTCAAAAAATTGTGCTCCTAATATAAGATGCCCAAGAAATCGATAGGAAAACGCAAAGTATAATAGTATTGCAATTAAAAAACTTTATTTAATATTTCTAAAATACAAACGAACACAGCCAGCGTGCGCGAAAAATGAGCATGCGATAGATTATACCCAGAACTCATTTTCAGGTAGTTGGAATCAAGCATCGCAGATACTCAAGTAACACATAATTGTCACAATGACATCAAATTGACGTAAACTTTGGGTCATGTTGAACAGGTCACGCTTGACGTCTTTTGGTCGAAAAATTTGACTGGTTAATTATGTCATTTTGACATCATTTTAATAACATATAATGACCTCTAAGTATGAGCATACTCGGGCCTATGACGGTCAAAGGTAGATCTTTTTTGCCTAAATAATTCCCAGTGAATTATCTATATCCTATGTACATGCATATACAGGGTGTCCCAAAAGTGTGGAAACGGTCGAATATCTCGAGAAATACACATCGGATCAGAAATCTGAAAATATACGTATTCAATGTTTTCAAAAAAGCTATCGTTTGACATCTAACATGACCCCCCACCCCCACCCGCTGTGGGTGAAAGAGAGGGTAAGTTTAAAATTTTAAATGGGAAACCCCATTTTTTATTGCAGATTTCGCTTCTTCAGAAAAAGTTACATAAATTTTACCTATTACAAACATTTTTTTGATGACTGATGGCGCTGTAATAAGCGAAATTAAAAAATGAGTCTAAAACGTTTAAAATATCTCAAGAAATACGCAAAGGATCAAAAAAATAAAAATGTACATATTCAATGTTGTCAAGAAAGCTATCCATTGACACAAAAATTTTATCCCCCACCTACCATCCGCTGGGGGTGAAAGGGTAGATAACTTTAAAATTTTAAATGAGAAAACCTCCATGTTTTATTGCAGATTTCGCTTCTGCAGAAAAAGTCGTATTAACCATTTAACCCCGAGATGTGCTGAATTTCGACATGGATTTCAACCCCCAACAATTAGCAGAAAAGAACGTAGACAAGTATCGGAAG